ATATTTCGTTATTTCTAGAGTAAAAAAATGTTGGTAAAAAATACGAAAAAATACGAAAAAATACGAACGCACCCCTAAAATTTGAAATTCGTATTCGTATTTTTTGTAGTTGGACCCCCCCAGTGTTGGGGTAAAGGGACTCCAGAAGGCAGACAAGGCTCGACTCCAGACTCTAGTTGAAGTAACAGAAGAGAGAGGAGTGTCCAGTGTTTAGTTGACTCCAGACTCTAGCGTAGCAGAAGGGAGAGGAGTGACGTTGTCGACTCCAGACTCTAGCGTAGCAGAAGGGAGAGGAGTGACGTTGTTTTAGTGATCCCACAGATTCCAGTCGACAGATACTATCTGTGTTCTGTGACGTGGAAAGAGTGGTAAGTAGTTTATAGTTATAGTTTAGTAGTTTAGTCTAGGAGTTCCCGCTTCCTCTTTCACTTTCATTTATAGTTTCACGTGGATTACCTTTCACTTTACTCACGGTAGTTTTCCCCCAGGGTTTTGTTTTATAGTTATCAGTTCCAGTTTTACTTGAAGTCCTCATCATTCAGAAGTCCCTCATATAGTAAGAAGAACATCATCATCAGGAGTAGTAGTTTTAATTTAATAGTAGTTTAATCTAATAGTAAAAAAGACATTGTTTAGTTTAGTATTGAAATGTGTTTTAACTATTAGTCAGAGCAGAGTAGTGTGAGTTACTGAGTCACACCATATCAATCATTCACTATTTAAGAGAGTACATTGTAGAGTAACAAGGTTACTTTTGACACAAGATTTGTATAACCTCTTTATTCATCTAATTTGTATTTATAATAATTGAGTATTATTTGTTATTTAATTAACCCAAGAACAGGGTTCCAACAGATAGTGCCTTACAAAATGACAACCCAAAACGGCATCACTTCAAATCCGATTTGGGAAAAAGTTTTATTATTCTTTCACGTGTCTTACTGTTAGATATATATGTTGTTTATATTATACCAGTTCTGTTTTTACCAAAATATATTTAAAAAGGAACATTTTTTATACTTTGAAAAAATTTAAAAAATGTCATTTTGTGAGGCGTAAAAATCATTTTTTGTTTTCATACTTGAACACAGTATTTGGTTATATTTGATATTTTCTATGACTGGATAGATCACTTTTCAGTGTTTAGTTAACGTTTGACATGTTTTAGGAGTTGTTATTACTCTCTGCTTTCACAGAATAGAAGCTTTATTTCGTTGAGTTTTGAAATCAGAGTTTGAAATCAAAGAGTTTGAAATCAAAGTTTTGATATCACAACTGCACTTTTTTAATGCTACTTGATTGTTAACTGTCAGATTATGATTATTTTTAACTCCTTCTTGTATTGACTGTCTCTGATCCATTTTAGATGATGAAAATAATTCAATCTGAAACATTGTCATTTTTTAAGGCTTTTCGGTGTCATTTTGTGAGGCATTTTGATCAAAATTGATGATCAAACAAACACATTTAGGCTCATCATGAGCTTACTGGGTTTAAGAATACCAATAATTAGGCAAGGGGCATCCAATATAAATATGCCATCTTTGCATCATAAAATAAAACTGTCATTTTGTGAGGCATAACACTGTCATTTTGTGAGGCTAGGTCATTTTTTTGTCATTTCTTCTACCAAAGTCACTAAATCAGTTTTTTTATTTGACCAGAGTAGTCTTTGATTGACATAAGTCATGGTAGTACCTGGTTTTCTGGGGTTAAATTCAAAACTTTGGTCTCCATTCTGGGTAACAGTTAGGCGGGGCAATGACTGAACAGCAAAAACGTCCATATTTATGTAAGAAATATAGATTCTATGTCATTATCATTCCTTGGGAAGTGTTAATTAATGCTTTTTCTTTCATACAGTAAAAGGAATAGGGTTCAATGTATAGGGAACCTAAGCTACAGCATGGTCTATGTGGGCTGTCATTTTGTGAGGCCTGTCATTTTGTAAGGCCGATACCCGTAGGTAAGATTATAATTTATTTCAAAAAACCACGGATAGTTTTAAATTTATTTCTATTTGTCGTATAATCATAAACAATTTAATCCTGTTTTCAAGAATGCGCGGCTTTGGCCGCCAATTATTGACTTATACATTAAATTGAATTTTAAATAGAAATGTGAATATATTAAAATTTAAAACTTTCAAAACGGAGGCTTATAAATATTATTATATTATGATTGTAAAATAAAGGATAAAATTTTAAATTTGTTTCACTAAAAAATTTGTTTCACTAGTTATAAAGCATTTTGTGTATCTCATTAACAAAATTGACTGGGTGATTATGTGACACTGCACCTTAATTGTGCAACCTTAACAATTCCCATAATGTTTAACGGGTGTTTAACGGGGTCACCTAATCACGTGATCACATGTAATGAATTAACTTGTTATGCTTCGTATCTCGGTCATCTGAGAAGCTACAACTTTAATTTTTTCAGGACAAACGTAATTCGAATGGCCAATTACACAATTCAATAAAATTTAGCTCGATCCAACTATCCAAACTATCAAATAAATGCAAAAATTAACCTTCATTTGAAAAAAATTAACACGAATATTTTTCGATTTGACAAATCCCTCGAACCTGTGGTGGTACTAAGTCATCCCGGTAAGAATTATTTCAATTGGGCACTCAGTGACTGAGCTATTAAGGAAAATGTTTGCCAATGCACTCATGTTGCCACAATTCGATTATTTAGACACGATCTATTGTAGAGCTGGCAAGACAAAACTTGCTGAACTTGACACTCTGTACAAAAAGGTAGCCAAAATAGCTCTCAACGTTCCACAAACAGAGAGCAGCCTTAATGTTTATAGAGACATGAAATGGTTACCACTCCATCTTAGACGACAACTCCATCTGTCAAATTATATGTTTAGAATCATCCATGACAATTGTCCTACAAACTTTATGAACAAATTTAGTTACATATCAGGAGGTAGTAGGAGCGGCGAAAGCTGCAACCTATATGTTAATAGATCAACATCACATAAAAACTTTCAATACTTGGGGGCAAAATGTTGGAATAATGTTCCAACAGATCTACGAAATCTGCCCGATGTTAAAAGCTTTAGTGATTCGTATAAGAAACAGCTACTCTCATCTATAACAACAGACCCTTATTATACCGTCGACAATTCATATGACAAATTTTACACTGCAATCATAGTCGACGATAACTAAGTATCTTCTATTTCTTTTAAATCTGAGGCATATATAATTGAAGTGTCGAAAGGATATTCCCTTTTTTACCACCTTACCATTCTGATTGATTCTGCACATGACTGACATGTTTTAACTGGAGAAGGGGTTCGCACAGTGGTAGTTTTATAAACCACTTTTAATTTATTGACCTATTATACCTAGTGGTAGTTTTACAGACCACATTTAATTTATTAACTTATTATACTTAGTATTTATTTTTGGTGACTGTATCACCCAGTAGAGTTTTAACATTTGATAATTGTACAGTTTATTGACGACACATTGACCGAATGTTATTTTATATTCTAATTTATATACTAGATATTTTATTTATTTTCCAACAGACGACAACTTCCTGTTTTTTTTCCTTCTATATTAGTTACTCATATCTCTGATCTTGTACAGACTGTTCTACAAGGACATTGACAGATGATACTCATATTAGGCATTCATTATTGCATCTAAATTATTTCACTTGCATTAGGTTTAGAAATTTATTCTCTGGTTAACAGATTTCAAATGTTTAATCAATTTGTAGTATGACAGTATATAAGAAGTTATTTAATTTTGCTTGGGCTGTTGTGTTGACTGTTGGGGTTTAGTGGTGGTATGGAATTTGAATTTTATATAAATTTACACTATGAGGTTGGGGCATTTTGCATAGTAAATATGGTTACTACTCCTATATATCATATTATTTGATTGGTATTCGATTTCTGATTATTTCCCTAGGAATATGATTATTATATCTCAATTTGGCTTAGGTAGGGTGCCCCGCTAAAAGAACTGGATTCTTCCAGGAAGCATCCCGTGCACAGAGCTTGGTCTACATATATATTAAATTATTAACCATTCATTCTGTATGTGCACGAAAATTTATTTCAATCAATTAAGGCCAACGTTTGCACAGTGACTTTTGGCCCACCCTAGCTGTATAATATAGTTTGTTATGTAAGTTCTTTAAATTAGATTAGATTAAGAATAATGACATAAACATCATCACTAGTTTTAAACATTCTTTCTTTAAAATAAATGATAATTTTGTATCGATTATACAGGGTGGCCCAGAAGTAACTGCCCACACGCAACCCTTAAATAACTCACGTAATTCTTCTTATAATTGTACTGAAATTTCAGAGATTATAGATATGGGTCATACTTAAATTTCCTGAATGTTTCATCAAATTTAATTAATTACATTAGGTGTGGCACGTCACTCCCTCTTATTCACTATTGTCACCATAAAGTAAAAACGCTTTCAGCTAGGAACTTCAAAGTTTCTAGACATATTTGGTTTCGTAATTGGAGTGCTTTCTAAAATTTCAAGTTGGTTGTTCACAATTTAACTGAGTTATGACCCTTTTAAGATATTTCAGATACGTGATCTCGGCACTTAATCAGTGATTACTGATTTCGTCACTGTCATTGACTTGACTGCTGAATTCATGATCCCACAAATCGTACTATACTATACTACATGCATGACCTCATGGTAAAACGCATACAAGTCAAATAGGTGGGACAATGTCCAGGTGGGTTTTTAGCCTGGTGGGATTATTTTCTAGTTGGCTTGTGTCCGGGTGGGATTAGATTTTAAGGAAACTTTTGTATGTAACCACTCAATAATATATAATATCCGGTCCCCAAAGAATAACCTGAATATACCCAAATATGACAAATCTAATTATATTGAATTACAAAAGTGTAACTAAGATTATTATTTATAGTGCTAAGGCTATTAGCCAATATTTAGAACTCTAGTATATGTAATTAATCTTCTACCCTAGCGTCTGATTCAAATAATGGATACTAAACGAAGACATCTTCGATCTTTATCTCTCACATCCAACAAGTTGATATTCTCGGGGCAGATTCAGCTTATCCTTGGACCTATGTTCTCTGGAAAAACGTCAGTTCCCTAACTTTTGTTTCTCATAACTTCAAAAATTCCGCTGAATATCTCCTATTTATAAATTTTTGTAAGCTATTTGAATGATAAATAACAACTAACAAATCTACTGTTCTCTTTTTGGCAACACTTCATACACAATTATGATATTTGCCATATTGGCTTTCTATGATTCCTTGCAGGCTTGTCAGAGTAATATTTATCCTTTTTCTTTGCAGGACAGAGCTGTTACGAAGAATTCAGAGATACAGTATCGCCCAAGCAAAATGTTTATTGATAAAGCACAGTAAAGATGACAGATATAACAACAGCCTTGTAATAACTCATGACAAGAGGTAATATTCAAATTTCGCTGATAACAGTGGTGTACACTATACACTGCAATTTTATTGTACTGGTATTCAACTCTGTTATTTATTTTTCATTTTAACTACTTTTCTATCCTTCAGGACGATTTCAAATGAATACATCGATAAAACTACCTGCTCAAACCTCAAAACATTGTGTGACAATATTCAAATATGTGAATATGAGTGTATCGGTATTGATGAGGCCCAGTTTGTAAGTTATAGAAAATTGCTGTTAGGTTTTAATTAAACTGAATTCTGATCGACCAAGGCTTTTCAGATTCCTTGTTTTTGGCAAATAATGGAGCTAATGATTTTTATTTAACAGCACTTTTTGGCAAATAATGGAGCTAATGATTGTTATTTAACAGTACTCAGGTCTCCTTGAATTCTGTGACCATGCAGCTAATTTGGGTATTGTCGTGGTTGTAGCTGCCCTCTCGGGGGACTTCGAAAGAAAGGTGCGTTCAGACTCAGTTTTGTACTTTTTGTTAAGTTTTTAGATCCCATGGCCATGTTAGGACCCATATTGTTCCTTCCCTCTTGTGACACTGAGAAATCGTCAAACTGAGTAAATATGCCATTGTGATATTATGCTAGATGAATGACATATTTAATTAAGTCTGAATATTTTGCACTAGGCATTCGGGGATGTTCTGCAGCTGATCCCACTCTGTGAAGATGTAATAACTCTAAAGTCAGTTTGCATGTCTTGTTACAGAGAGGAGGCTTCTTTCAGTTACAGAATCAACACTGATAACAAGGAGGTAAGAGGACTGACTCAAAATACTTAAGTTTTGTAAGACATTAAATAAATTGTTATTGTGTTGGTATGATGTTTACATTATTGTTATATTATAACTCAGGTTGAGTGTGTTGGAGGCCCTGAAGACTATAAAGCCCTGTGCAGAAGATGCTACATGAATCACACCCAGGTACTACCCAGTATCTCTAATGGTGTCTCTAATGGTGTCTCTAATGGGGCTTAGGTTGAGTTTAGATGTAAACTGAGAAAGTTATAAACAAAATAAACAGTTGACGTTATCTGGATTCTAGCACCTATTTCATCAATTATCATTACTGTTATTATTTAACCTTAAACTGTGACTGCATTATACAACAAATTAATTTATCTGATCGAAACTTATGAAACATTTTGAAAGTGACAATTGAATATAATGTGTTTGTAACTTAAATATTTGGAAATTAATCTCGATTACCTTTAAAACAATTTGTCCAAAATAAGTTATGGAATTATTGCTGTATTCTTAGGATCATACACAAATTACGTAAAACTGCTTAGGGGAGAAGGTATGGATATAATCTGTTAAGTAGCTTATTGAGAGAGTATAAAATAGCAAAACTCTGGCTGACGTAATATGTGAACGATTAAAGTATAGGAAAATTTATATGATTTATAAATGAGTAATTTTAACGACAACTTATAATATTGCCCCAGGATTTAAGAACTGTACAGTTACATAGTTATTAAATTAATTTTATCGTGTACCTAGACCTGCTTTTGATTTCATGCCGGTTTGACTGATTTAGGCCTTTTAACATATTAAGTGGCAAGTTATATTTTCTGAGTTATAGACCTAAAATAGGGTGATTATTAAACGATGCTTTTTAATTCTTGACTGTACTGTTTTTAATTCTTGTTTGTACTTTTTATCAAGTTTTCCTAGGTTTCAACCAAGTTTATACTCAATTTATACCATTCTGCTAGTGATCTGTTATTTTCGTTCAGTTATGATTTTTAAATGAATATTATAAATATTTAACATTCAAATTTAAGCAAACAATCAGAATATCATTGCTTTTTACATTGTCAGTAAGAAAGTTGGTGTGTACAGTCTTATTTTAAACACAGTACAACATCACTGCGCTGCTATTAACTGTAATAAAGTTAAATAATACTTACAATGAAAGTATGTGTAAGTATTACACATACAGTTATTGTTATATCGTAAGTTACATAGAATGACTGTAGTATTACTTTTAGTCGACACAATGCATGTGAGGAATGTATTCAGAACTGCACCTGATTTTAAGGAACTTGGTGAACTCTATCCTGATCTTCAGAGCCACCTCATACAGGTTTGAGATGTAAATACCATCCCAGATAACATTCCTTAGTTCAGATGCTCCACAACGAGTACTTATTTGAAATTTGAAGTTTGAACCATCAAAAAGTTTGACCAAATTAGTATTGAAATTTGATTATGCAACAAAAACAATTATGCTAATATGCACAATTGAGACAATTACATAAACCAGGGTTACAAGCTAAAAGCAACTATCATTAAACTCAGCATCCCCTGCAGGTTCGCAAAGATTACTACACAATAAACTTCAAGGACCCGGAAGCGCTGAACATTCTGACCTGTTCGTTAGCATCTCACTACTTTGACATTACTCTGGATATTCCTTCTAACAGACTTATACCCACACTTCCACTAAGAATGAACTATCTTCTCTGGATTGAGGATTTGCTGTCTTACCGCACGACTAGTGATAACGTTGTTGGTATAGACATAGGTTAGTTTCATTTCATTAATTTGTTGGTTGAAAAATGTATATTTTTTGTATTTCAGATTCCGTGATTCTGCAAATTAAGATCTCAACAACCACCTTCCCGCTCAACATTTTACTTTTGTAAAACTTATCTACAATATCTAAAAGCTTACCTTCTAATTTTTCAAGTAACCGAACTATAGAATAAACTAGCCTCTAACTGTGTACACAGTACATTATCAATCCTGAATCCAACTCCTCCATGCAGGTACTGGTGCCTCATCAGTGTACGCTCTACTAGGATACAACAACTTTGGGTGGACATTTCTAGCAACGGAAACAGACGAAACTTGTTATAAAGCTGCTGTGAACAATGTTCTTATCAACAGTTTACATGATAAGATAGCTGTGAAACATGTTAAAAGTGACGGGGACAAGCTTTTAGGAAATCTAGGTTAGTACTGCCACTATCTAAAGTTTTAACTCTCGATTTTTAATTTCTAATATAATACTGACATATTTATCAAAGGGATTGTCCAGCACTAATACTCTAGGTTACAATTTAAACAGCATATATTAAACTTGTCACAATAGTCACAGTGGGTAGTCCCAATACAATAGTCACAGTGGGTAGTCCCAATACAATAGTCACAGTGGGTAGTCCCAATAGTCCCAATACAATAGTCACAGTGGGTAGTCACAATAGTCCCAATACAATAGTCACAGTGGGTAGTCCCAATACAATAGTCACAGTGGGTAGTCCCAATAGTCCCAATACAATAGTCACAGTGGGTAGTCCCAATACAATAGTCACAGTGGGTAGTCCCAATAGTCCCAATACAATAGTCACAGTGGGTAGTCCCAATAGTCAGAGTAGTCCCAATAGTCTGACCAGGTGTATTTACAGCCTGGCTCTGCAGGTCCAGACCGACAGTACACCTTCTGTATGTGTAACCCGCCCTTCTTTGAGGACACTGAGAACATGACGGGCTTTGCCAGGTCCCTGAACAGAGCCTCTCCTAAATCTGTCTGTACTGCTACTCCTGTAGGTGAGTAACTTGAAACAGTACTATTGAAATTTGTATTTCTAACGTCAGTTTACTTTTTTGGTATTTTCGTCCGAGTGATAAGTCAGCAGCTAGTAGGTACAGGTGAGCAGGTGCTAGCATGAATATTCGCTAAACCAATAACTTCATAACTTGTATTGTTACTGATGTCTGTAGTGACCACTTATACGTTACCACAGTGACTACTAACCACCTCTCTCTCCACAGAAGTGATAACAGACGGAGGAGAGGAGCAGTTTGTGGGGGACATGGTAACAGAGAGTCTCACACTGGGAACACAGGTGTTGTGGTATACCTCCATGTTGGGCAGGAAGACCTCACTCGACCACATTCTGGGCAGGTTGGCTGAGTGTGGGGTAGCGAGGATTGCTACTACTGAGTTTAAACAGGGTCAGTTATATGTTGTACTGAGATCATCATCCGGCTTTTTTATTAATGCTTGACTCTATTTAACCAATAAAACAAACTGTACTGCCCATCAAGGCGTTAAATATGAGTTGTCTCCCAGACTTTAAAAAACCCCTAATTTCAGGAAACACTACTCGGTGGGGAGTAGCCTGGTCTCTTGAGCCTTCAATACCCCCTCTCCTAACACCCAACTCTAAGAAAGTCTCTACAACCTACAGTTTTACCACAGAATGCAGCTCGCCCCAGAAAGTAATCACACGTTTACAAGCGAGCTTGGCACAGCTGCACGTGCAAGAAGTCACTTGTCCTGGAGAGAAGACTGAGTATTGCACGTGGTTAACCGCTTGTGAGAACACGTGGTCTCACAGTAGGAGAAAGAGGAGGAAAGGAGGTTCCAAAGAGCCAGCTAAAAGACTTTGCACTGTTGGTAGTAATTCAGATCAGACATTGACAAAGAGTTTGAAGACTCTCAGTAATGACAATAACAATGTTAACAATGTTAACTATGTTAAAACGGCAGAACAAGCAGAGAATCCGAGCAGTAAGTCGTATAAACCTTGTCTATTTCACTGTCTGTTGTCCGTTGAGAAAACAGAGAATGGGGTTTCGGTAGATTTAACATGGATATTTGGGTCGGATAAAGATTCTTTGAATCAGTTTTGCTGTTTTCTAGCTAAATGTATTAGTAATTCTACGAAAGATCCATGTGGATGAGTTTTTAAAGTTAAGCTTTTTTAATTATTTATACCCATCAGATTGATGAAAGTTTTAAAAATTTAGATGTATTTTATAATTTATTATCTCAATATTTTTTATCATGTCAGCATCATTTCTTAAACCCTAAAAATATGTTTACGGGGGAAACACACTTCTGATATGATCATGATATAAATGTCCGTTATGTAAAAGTAGTTCTCTCACTCTTGTTTACGCTAATATAATGTAACTTACCCATGTGATAACTATTAACTACCCATGCGATAACTACCCATGAGGTAACTCATGGGTCCTACATTTAGGCTGTGATAAACAGGTAAATAGTGGTGTACTCCTGCTATCACACTCCAAGCAGTGATGTAACTGCTTAATATTATATGAGGCTTGAAATATTCGTAAAACTACATCATGAGAGCCTGTAAAACGCTAAAAGCTGTTTAGTTCAAGATATTACATCATTGCTACGGAAAACTAACCAATGATGCCCCTTACTTTTTTGTCCTTTTTTTACGTAAACCGTTTTAACAATTCCACAAACTTTGCAGCAAGAATAGAAACATGGCATTTCAACCGCGGTTATCTTCTAATCAGCAGAAACAGATGGAACAGTTGGAAATGGACGTTATGCAAGACATGTACAACAGGTAAAGCTATTTAATGTTTTCCATTTATTATTATTGTTATAAAACAGGATCTTACCGACAAGAATGATTCTTAAAAATACCTTAATGCGGTAAACTGTACCCTTGAAAAAGATTTTCCCAACATCTGTTGCATGCAGCTATATCTCTAATTTCGTTCAATTCATGCAAGTTGTCCATTTGCAAATTTCTACTACTTAAATCACTTCTTAAAACCGATAACTTCCATTTGACTATCTTAATTTTACATTCTACTGGGGTGATCTCTCTTATTTCTCATTTTACTAAACTGCAAAATAAGGGTAATGAGCTCCAGTCTGTGTCATGTGATATTGTCTTACCACGGCCGGGTTTAATTACTGATGGCATTTTATTTCCTATTTATTTCTTATCCCAGTAGACTGTCATGCCAAAAATGGTTTAGACGATACTGTAAAATAATATGGTATCGTTTTACCAGGGTTTAATTACTGATGTTATCTCTCGTGTTCAGGTTATCTGAGTCGTGTAGAAACAAGTGTATTAGTAAGAGATATGATGAAGGGGACCTGTCTAAAGCTGAGAGTGTCTGCCTGGACCGGTGTGCTGCTAAGGTGAGCCCTTCTATCTGTCATCAGTAAATCTGTAAAATTATTCAAGTATTACAGTTAAGTTGGATAGTAGTAGTGCTAATTATAATACTTAACTGTTTATTAAGTTATTATTTTAATCCAGCGTGAATTCGAAATATAATTCCATGCTGAATTTCTCAAATTCAAAAATAATTTTTGAAACATTTTTGAGAAAATGAGAAATCCATGCTGAATTTCTCAGATTCAAAAATAATTTTTGGGACATTTTTGAGTGTTCCCGGCGAAAATTCTCAGATTCAAAATTCTCAAAATTACTCATGAACCCCCCCCCCCCCCCCCCCCTAAACTGATAAACTGATAAACTGATAAACTGATATACTGATAAACTGATAAACTGATAAACTGATAAACTGATAAACTGATAAACTCCTTTCAGTATCTGGAGGTGTACGAGAGAGTCGGAAAGAAGTTAACTGCAATGTACACTGCTCAAATGGCTCCTCCTGAAAAATGATCACAACTTTCCTTCCTACCTTTCTAATCATTGATACGCTGGATGTATTGTATTTGTAGATAATGCTTTCTGAAACTTTAATTTATTCTCATTTAAGCCCCGTGAAATGTTTCTTATTGATCTTCCCCGTATCAATCAGATCTTCAATAAAAACTAACAGAGAAAGTATAAATAACCACCTTATCAATCTATCAGATCATGCTAACAATACTGTCTTACTAATTACATGATTTATCATAATATTATAATTAATGTCCCACACTAGCAAAGTTAATTTAACTAATTGTCTGTGCTATAATGCTTTATCTACCCCAGTTATGGTACATTTAGGTGTATGTGACGAGCCCGTCTTCTCCTCCTCTGTCCCTAACTTCACAGACAGTCAGCTAGGTGAGCCCTTTTATAGAATATATAGTTGTTTATGGTTATTTCTTGAAGTTTTATAAATAAGTTGGACAGCAGTGCTGCTAATACCTACCTTTTTATCAATTATTCCAGCTTGAATTCTAAAGATTTTCATTACTGATGAAATAATAAACTGATAAACTCTTAGGCGGAGTCCCGCACTGGCTGACCTCCACCTCCACTGTACCTGCCTGTACACTCTGTGGTGCCTCCTCCCACCTGGTAACCCAGCTGTACGCCCCACTCCTAGACTCACCTCACCACCGTGTGTTGTACTTGTTTGGTTGTGGTGAGGTGGGGTGTCAGAACAAGAGTGGGGCGTGGAGTGTGGTAAGGGAGGTATGTGAGGTGGGGGAGGTTGTGAAGGAGAGTGTGACTGTTGTGAAGGGGAAGAGTGAGGTGTTCTCTGATGATTGGGGGGTTGATGGTGAGGACTGGGGAGGTGGTGATGGGTGAAGAGATTCTAGGAGCGCTTACTAGTACAACCGAACAAATAACTCAGTCTATGAGCCAGCTCCAGGTAAAAGAGTGCAGCTCAGTTGGTCACATAGACCAAAGTTCTGGTGTTTATTTCCCTCCTTTTTATTTGTATGTCATGGGGGAACCAGAAGCGGATATTGTGAATAAATCAGACCGTAAGAAATATAATGAGTTTGATGAAATGGCTGAGGAAGGTGGAGGAGGAAAAGAAAAATATGAAAAATCCGAAGTTAAAGACAAAGAATTTTACAAGTTTTACAAAAAAGTCAAACGATGCCCTGAACAATGCATCAGATATGATCTCGGTGGAAGTCCTCTTCTCCAACCCCCTGATATCTCCATTCCTAACTGTCCTAAATGTCACTCTCCTCGGCGCTTTGAGTTCCAACTCATGCCAGCTCTAATATCCATCCTGAACTTCCCTCCAATAAAAGGAGCTGCTAGCTCCAAATCTCTAGATTACAGAACTGTTATAATATACACTTGTCAGAGAGATTGTGTGATCTCAGATAGTAGTTCAGAGTATATTGTGTGTGTTCCTGAGCCTGATGTGGTGATACCCTCACAGAGAAGTGCAGATGGGAACTCTCAGAGTGGTTCTTAGAGGATTTATTAAAAGTAGGCGGGCTCCTGTCTAAACTATTTTAAAAGCTTGTTTAGAGGGATCTAGATTTGTAAATTATTATGCCTGTTTAGTTACTGATTGTGTATTGTTTACGGTCCTTTAATTTATTTGAGTCATTTTTAATGAAAACTTCTGGCTATTTTTATTTTGTTGGAACAAAATGAAATCATAAGTTAAATAAATTACATAAATCGTACGTATTATAGTATCGGGTATTTTATTTTATTTATGTAGTATAATATCCATTGAAGGATCATGGCACCGAAGAGGAAGCAGCCAGCAAAACGTCGCAGAAAGACGGACAGCACTGAAAAGGTACAAGAGCCACCAGTTAAAGATGATCCCAAGCCAGAAAATAGACTGCTCAGTAAGATGAAGAATATCATGGACTCAGTACAGAAGGGATACACTCACCAGGCTAAAAATATAGGTAATTTTATGCAATACTTAGCCAAGGTTTCGAAACGATCCCTTGAAAATTCTAAGAGACAGCGAACGCAGTTTGAAAAAAAGGTAATCTGTTCTACACATTGATAGTTTAGAAATTAATTTTAGTCCGGTTCGCTCTTAAAAGTACAATATCTTAGAGAAACTGTGGGAGCTAAAGCAAGCAACCGAAGAAGGAGACGATATATTCTTCAACAACTTCTGGTACCTCCTCCAACACGCCTGTCTGATATCAGCACGTGAAGCACCCACTGAACGCGTCATCCAGTTCTGCTGCAAGTTTGCTATCCGCGCTGACTTGGACCGGGAGACGTTCACAGACGCGGAGGTGTCCCAGACGGGACCGTTCGCTGTGAAACTGTTCAGTACAGCACTGAAGTACCATAATGCTAACAACAAGGCTGTTAGGTTTAGACTGTGTCAGATTGTTAACTCTGTTTTAACGGCTCTAGGTGGAGGTAGGTGTCGAAATTAATAATCCCTCAAACAATGCAATTAATTAGTTAAATGTTTACTATGTGGTCTTCAAGTCTAATCTGTTTGAATTTATATGAAATTAACTGCTGTTAAAAGATGTAGAGATACTGTTGCTATTTGATTTAAATATTACTAATTAACCTTTGATAAACGGAAAATCATCAGAATATAAAAATAGATTTTGGAAGATTTTTGAAGAGGAGCTTTTCTGCCGTCCCCTTGACCAAAATTTCACGAGTTTGACTGAAATTTTGACCAGTGACCAATCAGTGAGATTTGTGAGAGTGACACAAGTCGCCATCAAGGTACTGGAAGCAGTATATCTGGAGAAAACTTTGGTACAATGAAAATTTTGAATATGTCCATTGTCCTACCGGTATAGGTAGGCGGTAGGACATATTCGAATTTTGGTTTTGACTGAATTTTTCTTGAATTTTTTTCGAATTTTTCTTGAATGACCATCTTACAAGGTCACTGAGGATGGCACAAGACACGATTAAGGTACTCAAAGTTCTATTCCCAAAGAAAGCTTTGATAAACGGAAAATCATCAGAATATAAAAAGAGAAATTTTTGAAGAGAAGCTTTTCTGACGTCTCCTTGACCGAAATTTCGCGGTTTTAAATGAAATTTTGACCAGTGACCAATCAGTGAGGTCGGTGAGAGTGACACAAGTCGCCATCAAAGTACTGGCAGTAGTATATCCGGAGAAAACTTTGATGCAATGAAAATTTTGAAAATGTCCTACCGTAAATTCATGGCGCCAAATTATCACAATTACGCACGGTTCCGATGAACTTCACATTTTTTACGTTTTATAGTTTTACTATCGTTGACTATATTTATAACGGTTTATTTTAAACAGATGCGGAGATAGACGAGGATCTGTTTAACCAGATCTACACGTGCATGTTAGAGAGACTAAAAGATAAGGTTCCTGGAGTTAGAGTTCAGGCTGTTAACACTCTCAATCGACTTCAGGTACTTTTCATATTGTTTTGCACTTTACATAATGTGTAAGATCATTCCGACCATTGGTTATTGGTAACCGGCATAATTCTTAACTGCCTGGCCTTTGACAGCAAATGTTATCAACTGACAACTCGAATTATATGCTTAATTGTACAATGAGTTTAATATGTAATTTAATTCTGGAATGTTATAGGAAAGATAACAAATATCTCCAGGACCCATCTGACCCAGATTGTCCTGTTATAAAAGGTTATCACACTATAATGAAGACTGACGGAGTGGCTGAAGTAAGACGAGCTGCTGTCAAGGTAAAACTTTTTGTTCTACCATGTGCATGCTCCCCTAAAGGGAGGAAGGGAGGCCAGACACAATATCTAGCGTTTGGAACTTCACCAGGTCGATTCAGTTATGCTATGTAATGACTATGCATAGATTTAACCTAATTCTCTTTTCCAGGCAATAGCTGTTAACTCAATGTCCCTACTCCCGATAATTGAGAGAACACGTGATACAAACCCAGGTGTACGCCGTGCTGCGTACGAGGTACTTGTTGAGAAGATCAGTATCAGAGCTATGAAGATCTCATACCGGATGAAGGTTCTAGAATCTGGATTACGTAAGAAATAATTTCAACTCAGAGATTTTATTTTTGAACTCCATTTGGGTGAAGAGATGAGTTCTTAAGCCAAAGACATTAAATCCGTATTAATCTTTATTTTTAAACCAAGTTCAACACCGACCTTATGAACAAAATTGTGTAACTTTCAAATTAAAATTACTTTCACGTGTTAAAATTACGCTGTTGTATTGGTGATTATGTATTTTTTGGTGTTCAACATAAGATAAGGAACCACCTTATCTTGAGATGTTAAAACAGCACCTCACCCAACACAAACCAGGTGACCGTAGTGCAGCTGTAAAGGAGGCCTGTATCTCCCTCATTAAAAAGTGGGTATCCTACTACAACAACGACATTATCAAGCTCCTCAAAGCTCTAGATGTGGAGGGTAAAGTGGATCTGTGTGGGGAGGTGGTCACTGAGATACTGAACCATGTTCATATTGATTCAGCTAGCGAGTGTTTACTTAGTAGGATTGAAAATAAAGGTGCGGTTTAATTTGAGGGTTAACATTTTTCGTGCATTTAAGTGTAACTTATTTAGATCATCGTATCTCTTATATGTTTTTAACCCAACTCCACTCAGTAACTTATTTAGGTTTATTTCAGAAATATGAACACCAAATACTTAATTCTTTATTCGTCCCCTTACCCCCTTAGACTGTTTCCTATTCTTTCTTATTCTGTCAGTGATACCAACGGATCAGCTTACTTGTGAGAGTGTGTTTTATTGGCGGTGTATTGTGGCACATACCTCAACCAACCAACCCGATATGTATGAACAAATCATGCCGACTCTCTCTGAATATTCCCATTACCTCAAGGAGTAAGCAATTTGAAATTCCATTTTCCTCATGAAAGTTTTTCCAAGCACTCATTCAAGATGCCTCAATTCTTATTATTGAATATCGTATCTCTTCTCTATTATTTGGTATCAAAGTCTTGTTATTAAGACGTGAACTAGTTCCTAACGGCTAACTCATCTTATCTTTCAGTTATGTTGTGAAGGCTAGTTCCATCTCATCTGAAGATTATGATGCGCACTATCAAGCTTCGTACGTGATCCAGGAGCTGATTAAAATGGCAAAACTAGCAGATATGTCCGATGAAGCAGGGCGCAAGAATCTTATAACTGTCACAAAGTTTATCATCTGTGAGCGGAAATCACTGTTCAAGTCAGTAAAATTTGCGGGATCATAAAAGGGCGCAAAGTGGCAATTTTCCAAAAGACGCGAACTTTAAATGACATTTTATTTAATATGTTGGCGCAGTATCGACGCGCGTTGCAAGCGCGCGTTTTCTATACCGCCAAAATCAAACCAAATTCAGCCCCTTGACATTTTATTGTGAAATATTACACTGTCCAAGTTTTAACAATCAATGTAACATTAGTTATCTTCAGTCAATAGAGAGATTAGTTGAGCTATACTGTCTAGCAGAAATGAATGAACAAACAAGAATCAAAACAGTTGCTGAAATTATCACCGACATAAGGAATCCGCTCGAAGGAGCTACTCAGTTCAACCTCGACCAGATCGAATCTTGTGAAAAGGTACACTCCGAGTTTGCTAATTCATTCATTCGTAATTGTAGCTATCATTAAAGATTATTTAGTTTGTAGTGATCGTCCTGAAGGAGATAGGGATTAATTTGTTAGCACATGTTCGAAATTGGGACGAATCTTACTTATTGTGACCTTACATTAACCTTTTAATGATTTTTAGAATGACCCAGTTACAATGATACGATGCCTGACAATGGTATCCGGACTGATACAAGGTGTGAAATGTGATGTTGCCTTCGACCCAACCCTAACTGTGCTACTGGATGATTTGGTGAGTTAATACTAATTGAAACTCCATAATCCAATTCGTCAGTCTTGGAACGGGAGTTACAAAAAATTCAGTGGTACTTGGTGATTTTCGATTAAAATGATGTAATATATCGTTAGTACAGACAGATCCGTCTGAAAAAATCGATCTGCCGACACACAAAGCTTACAAAGGATTTTTGACGTTTTTGAGTCCTAATAGATGTCCTTTATGGCTGACCAACTTTTCCAAACTTTTCCACGTGTCTTAAGGCCACTTTTTGCCACTTTACCACTTTTTACCACCTTTCTTGTTTGTCGAATATCTTTAGTTGTGAACATCGTAAAAGGTTGCGGATCAATCGAGTGTGTTTATATTACCATGAAGAAAAACTTTTGTTCTAGCAATTTTTACGTCAGATAATCATTTAATTGGATAATTATCAATTAGCTAATTAGCAAAATTCTAAAAATTTTTTATTGGCTCAAAATGATCGGAATAGCTTAAAACACGCAGAAAAGTAGTTTTTAGAAAAACTTTGAAAATTTTTCACTTACATTTTTTTTCGAGACTTGGAAAAATTTCGAAAATTCAAAAAAAAATTTTTCCGCCAAAAGTGATCAAATCGCATGAAACGCGGAGAAAAATGCTTTTCAAAAAAACTTAGTGAATTTTTCGTTTCAAGAGTACTTCAATCACCAATATTTGTAGTTGGAGTTCAGTAAATCGCGGCAGATTTTAGTAATCAGGAATTACTAAGTGGAAAGGTATGAAACTGAAAAACGTTAACCATACGATATAAGAGTTTCATAACTAATTACAATACAGCCTTATCGATTTTTACAGAAACTGCACCAATGGCACAGTCAAGATCGAAAGACGAAACGATAGCCTGCTGTACTATCATTTTATTGACTTCAATGATGAATCAGTGGGGTTAAGATAATCACATTTGTAATGAATAAAACCTCTCTGTACCGTCAATTGTGCTAATCTAAACCGGCCTACCTGGATTACCAGACCTCTTCTTCTCCTCAACAATCAAACCGAGTTGTTCATATCGCATTTGGTGGGCGATGTAAGTACATATCGAGCTGTATTCAATCACAATGCAATACGTGTATATTATATTATGGCCCTCGTGGAACATTTTACTGAATGAATTATTACCGGTTCTTTACTACCCCTTGCTCGACGCTCGTATCTAAATCTTATCCTTGCCCGTATGTTACCCTTGTTGATTTTACTTTTAGCCGACCCTGACATATGGGGGTGATTTTATACCGCATAGCAAATGAAGCGATATGCAGTACAATACAAAACAAGTCACAGTAGATGTTGGAAGGTGTATTTACACTTGCTTCCTAGATCTGGCTGTTCCTTAGTTTCCCTGGTCTGTTCTTGCCTTCTTGGAACTGTAAATGAGCCATGAGGCCAAGTATACGTTTTCGTGATAAACTGTAAAACGTCTCTATAGTCTATACCGGGTTTCTCACGGTATTAAGCGTTGCATAAAATATATTATATGGCTCTTAATGAGGTTTATGAAACGCTTAATACCGTGAGAAACCTGGTATAGAGACATTTTACAGTTTATCACGAAAACGTATACTTGGCCTCATGGCTCATTTACAGTTCGAAGAAGGCAAGAACAGACCAGGGAAACTAAGGAACAGCCAGATCTAGGAAGCAAGTGTAAATACACCTTCCAACATCTACTGTGACTTATTTTGTATTGTACTGCATATCGCTTCATTTGCTATGCGGTATAAAATCACCCCCATATGTCAGGGTCGGCTAAAAGTAAAATCAACAAGGGTAACATACGGGCAAGGATAAGATTTAGATACGAGCGTCGGGCAAGGGGTAGTAAAGAACCGGTAATAATTCATTCAGTAAAATTTTCCACGAGGGCCATAATATAATATACACGTATTGCATTGTGATTGAATACAGCTCGATATGTACTTACATCGTCCACCAAATGCGATATGAACAACTTGGCTTGATTGTTGAGGAAAAGAAGAGGTCTGGTAATACAAAACAAGTCACAGTAGATGTTGGAAGGTGTATTTACACTTGCTTCCTGGATCTGGCTGTTCCTTAGTTTCCCTGGTCTGATCTTGCCTTCTTCGAACTGTAAATGAGCCATGAGGCCAAGTATACGTTTTCGTGATAAACTGTAAAACGTCTCTATAGTCTATACCGGGTTTCTCACGGTATTAAGCGTTTCATAAACCTCATTAAGAGCCATATAATATACACGTATTGTGTCGTATTGTGATTGAATACAGCTCGATAAGTACTTACATCGCCCACCAAATACTATATGAACAACTTGGTTTGATTGTTGAGGAAAAGAAGAGGTCTGGTAATCCAGGTAGGCCGGTTTAGATTAGCACAATTGACGGTACAGAGAGGTTTTATTCATTACAAATGTGATTATCTTAACCCCACTGATTCATCATTGATGTCAATAAAATGATAGTACAGCAGGCTATCGTTTCGTCTTTAGATCTTGACTGTGCCATTGGTGCAGTTTCTGTGAAAATCGATAAGGCTGTATTGTAATTAGTTATGAAACTCTTATATCGTATGGTTAACGTTTTTCAGTTTCATACCTTTCCACTTAGTAATTCCTGATTACTAAAATCTGCCGCGATTTACTGAACTCCAACTACAAATATTGGTGATTGAAGTACTCTTGAAACGAAAAATTCACTAAGTTTTTTTGAAAAGCATTTTTCTCCGCGTTTCATGCGATTTGATCACTTTTGGCGGAAAAATTTTTTTTTGAATTTTCGAAATTTTTCCAAGTCTCGAAAAAAAATGTAAGTGAAAAATTTTCAAAGTTTTTCTAAAAACTACTTTTCTGCGTGTTTTAAGCTATTCCGATCATTTTGAGCCAATAAAAAATTTTTAGAATTTTGCTAATTAGCTAATTGATAATTATCCAATTAAATGATTATCTGACGTAAAAATTGCTAGAACAAAAGTTTTTCTTCATGGTAATATAAACACACTCGATTGATCCGCAACCTTTTACGATGTTCACAACTAAAGATATTCGACAAACAAGAAAGGTGGTAAAAAGTGGTAAAGTGGCAAAAAGTGGCCTTAAGACACGTGGAAAAGTTTGGAAAAGTTGGTCAGCCATAAAGGACATCTATTAGGACTCAAAAACGTCAAAAATCCTTTGTAAGCTTTGTGTGTCGGCAGATCGATTTTTTCAGACGGATCTGTCAGTACTACGTCATTCTTAAACGGCTGTGACTTATGGTGTGATTACCCGATTTTATGATTCAAGAAGTTTAATTTATATAATTTCTTGAAATCTCATGTCGATTACTTTTAGAAACAATTATCTATTGACGTTTTTTGGAAAAAATGTGATATAAGATGACCTAGTTATTCCAAAAAATCACGCATATTTAAAAATCTGCCAAGTTAAGATTAATTGTAGGCTTTACAACTGTACTAAGATCGAGAACATGTGTTTTTACCGTTACTCCTCCATCATTATCATAGTGTTGCCAGTTGAAATTGACTGCTTAGATCTCCCTATCCCCGTTTATATGTTTACTTAAATCGCTTTGTTCGTCCCGACCCATTTCAGTTATTAAAAATGAAAACACTTTAGCAAACTTAACATTGATCAGGTGATGACGGGGGTGGTATCACATAATGAGATTGTACGGCACCTCTCAATCAAATCCCTGGGCTTGTCTTGTATCCTCAGCAAAACTCTGGCCAAGAAGTATCTCGTTTTATTCTTACAGGTTTGTGGAAAAATGTCTGGAGGTATGTGGTATGATGGAAAATGGTTTTCTGCGCATCGTGTGGTGCTTAACATTGTGCTGTAATAAATAAGCTATCTGGGACTTTTGGATGCCTGTGTTTTAAACTCTTAAACTGGGTATCCAGTTATGTATAAACTTTACATTTTTCAGATAGTGATGGTTGATAACTATGCTGAGATCTTGGAGACATCTTTAAAAATCATCTTTGATTTGTTTTTGGTGTTCGGTATCGAAGCTTTTGCTGAAGAAGATAAAAAGGAGCAGAAAAAGGAGCAGAATGGAGAGGTGGGAATTTATTTCTAATTTTAAAGTTACTTTGAATCATCTCATTTTTTACCAACGAAGACACAAATTATTGTAGATAATCCCGTTCCTTTTAGCAGGATACAATGTCAGAGAACAGCCAAAGCACATTGATAGACAGCAGTCAGGAAGACATCCTTTCCAGTAAACTTGAGAATACCAAGATTGAGGACCCTGAAAACCCTCTTGGAGAGGTTGATAAGAAGGTGGGATCCTTAGAACTTAAAACTTTTGTGTGATGTGTATTGAAAATCAGTACACTCCGGGCTGCTCCTAGGGTTACTTTAGTTACTATAGTTACTAGGGTTACTAAGTAATATCGGTACACGTACTCTAGTTCGACAAATACCCTAGTTCGACTGTCGACACGTGCTCATTCAGATTCTAGCTTTCAATTCAGTTTCTTCATTGAACAATTTTCAGTCACATATGAAATTTAATAATTTTTAATAGATACTGTTCATAATATTATATTGTAAACACCTCATGGATTCAAGACCGACAAAATAAATGAATAAAATACAGCAACAGGACAGAAATGTGACGTCTATTGGAGCATCAAAGTATTAACGTTATTAGACTACAGAAACACGGGACCGTAAAAAACATTCCAGATAATAGAGGGGGACAAAGATGAGACAGTAATCTAATATCTGTAAATCTAAAGACTTCAAGCTGTAGAAATCTAGTGAAAAACAAAACTGTTCATGTCGTATACGGGCTACAAAACAAGTCACATTACAGTTACAAAATGTGTCCTATGAGGCTTAACTGAGTACTGACAATTTTTTTTTATTGAAATCTTTCAAATCGATCAATTACATACAAATTTACACAATGAATGAACAACATTAAATTTTCTCAAAAGTATAAGACTCCGATAAAATCAGATTTTCTAGGACAAAATGTATGTAATCAAAGGACCTGAGGGTCACCAAAACACAGATGTTGAGAGCAAAATGCACCTCCTGCACAAGTATGGGCCCACGAAAATCTTAAATTTTAAATAGAATTTCAAATAGAAACACACAAAAATATCAAAAGCAATCAAATCATATAATAAAGTGAAATCCATGATGTGATGACATGCACTAAAATGAGAGATGAGAAATACAGACAACAGGGATTTAAGCTCCTTATGAACATATTGTTAGCTTTAGGTAAACTGCTTCACATCTCTGTCTCGAGGGAAAAATCTAGATCATAATCAAAGTCCTCCGGCATAATTTTATCCCACATGTAGGAGGTCAATTTGCTTTTGAACTCAGAAATAGTCTCTATCTCACGTATATCTAGAGGAATATGATTCCATTTGGAATGGGTCCTAAAGTAAAAGTTCTTAGCAAAAGCGTTAGAGCTTGCTCGTGGTAAGATCGAGCTTACAAAACATAAGGGGTCCATGTGGCTATTTCTTAACCTTGAGTGGCCTTGATATGGTTGCAAATATGAGGGTAAAGTGACAGGAATATGTTGCTTCACAATTTTAAAGAAGAAAATAAGGTCAAGAAAGTCGAAGCGGTCTTCTATGGGCATAATCTTAAGCTGTCTGCATTTCTGAATGTATGTGGATGGTGGATAACTCATATACTCCTCGCGAAGAATCCACTTAATAGCACTCTTTTGGAGGCCCTCCAGCTTGCTTATCTGGGATTTTGTGACCGGTCTCCATATAACTGAGCAATGCTCAAATTGACTTCTCATTAAAGTGAGATACAGTACTCTACGACGATTTACATCTTGAACAAAATAGCAATTTCTCCTTGCCATGCCTAATTTTTGGTTGGCCTTTGAGAGGACTTTAGAGCACTGGTCTTGCCAGTCGAGATTCTTGGTCACAAAAACACCCAAATCCTTTTCATGATCGACATAGTCAAGTGCGATTCTTCCCATGGAGTATACAAAGTTAAAGAGTGGTAGGACACTAAGGAGGGAAACTGTTTCGGATATCCTTCCTGCGACGGTGAGGACCTTACATTTGTCGGGATGAAATCTCATTTTATTAGAAAGTGACCAGTCATGGAGATAATCAATGTCCTTCTGCAGTCGCAGGATATCAGACTCCGAAACAATCTCACGCCAAATTTTAGTATCATCGGCATACAGTGACAGTTGTGTGCCAGGTGAAATCCCCACTGATATATCATCAATGAACATAATGAACAACAAAGGTCCCAAAATTGACCCTTGTGGTACACCAGATTGGGCGTTTCTCATGGAAGAAAACTTACCACTTATCAAGACCTGTTGTTGCCTGTCTCTTAGATAATCAGTGATGAATTTCAGTAGCCTCCCATCAATACCAAATTTGCTCTTTAGCTTAAATAATATAAGATCATGGTTAACTGAGTCGAAAGCTTTGGCAAAATCAAAGTAGACTACATCTGTTCTCATATTTTCATTCAGTGAGAGAGCTAGGCTGTCACATAGACCTACAAGATTAGTTGCACATGATCTTTCAGCTCGAAAACCGTGTTGTTTATCGTTGATCATGCCGTTAGTAAGTGCAAGTAACTCATCTTTAATTATGCGTTCAAGAACTTTGGTGATTAAGCATGTAAGGGATATTGGCCTATAATTTGAAACCTCGTGTTTATCACCTTTTTTTTCCCTACTCTTGCCGAAGGCAAAAAGATCGTAGGGAATAAGTAATCGGGTTTGGATATATGAGGTGGCCCGACGGTCCTACGTTGATGACAAAAGTCTGCTCCTTCGCAATATAGACCACTCCCCTATAATTATGTGTATAAAAGGAGTCTATTTTGCGCGCGCGACGCCGGTTATGTGTTAATTAATTACAAGCATAGCAACGAGTTTTTGGTGCTTAACGACTGTTACAAACGGATAAATCATTAATTTAAGTGTTATTTTGGTGAAACAAGCTTAATAAATTACCGAGTGATAAAATTCAGCAATTCAAAACAAATAAAATTATGATATCAGCTGATAAACTCGTGGCTGTGGGCTGATTATTTAACAGTTAATCGACACTGAATGGTAGAAAGCATTGGAATACATAGTTGAGAACAGATGTTACTTTACAGTTACATTCAAGAAGCTAATATCAAGATTGCGGTATGCTTTTAAAGAATCCTATATCAAATAAAAGGCTCGAAAGTCGATGGTGCTGTGAATGTGATGTGTCGAGTAAGCATCAAAATGTATTAGTTTATGTTAGATACAAATAATAACTAAGACGAGACGGCATATTTTATTACAGTCAATAAGTTGGCATACGATGCAGTAATATGACGTGACATGATACGCATATATATGTTAACACGAAACAAAACCGCGCAAAGTATGAAATGATCTACAACCAAACCACATACAGATCGACGGCGACACCTCAGATGCGCGCAGGATTTTTCAAGTTCTGCACGCCTAATATAATATAAACGATTATTACATTGTACATGCGCCAAACACCACTCTGGGATACAATAAAGTAGAACAATTAAATTGTATGCAGTAGGGAAATTTGATCGTGCGTGGTGTTACCGCGGCGAAATTCTTGTTATATATGGGTACAACGTGTCCCAGTTTCCACTCCCTAGGTAATGTCCCAATGTTGTAACATGAATGAAATAATAGTGATAATGGGTAAGCAAGCCCAACAGCACAGTTTTTCAAAAGTTTCCCATGAATACCGTCAGGCCCATAAGCTTTGTTAGGGTTAATATTGGAAAGGATTTTTCGAACCCTTTGGTGGTCAAATGCAATATCAAAGCGCCAATCGTTTGAATAATCAATATCTATGTCGTATAATGATGCTTCAGAGAACTGCTCAAAGAAAAAGCCATTAAATAAGTTGGCCTGGTCCTCTGGGCAGTTGCGGACAATGCCTTTGTAGCTTACAAACTCAGGAATTCTTTGACTAGCTGTTTTTGATTTTACATATGACCAGAATTTTTTTGTTACAAGAGCGCTATCATCTGATTCATTTAATGTTTCTCGCATTTTTTGAGCAACCACATTTTTGAAGTTTTTCCTGGCAAGGGAGAATGCTATTTGGGCTCTATCGCTTTTATGTCTATCTTTATGCAGTCTTATTTTCTTGCGCCATGCATCATAGCACTCTGAGTCAAACCATGGATCTTGTCCATCTGTCTTAACTGAGCATTTCTTGATGAATTTGTCAGTGATATTAAAAAGTTTTTCTTTAAATTTTTTCCACCCAATTTCAGGTTCTGTGCCATTAAGCAATACATTCCAGTCTGTGTGCCGGAGTTCATGGTTTAGCCTCTCCCAGTTCACGTTTTTATAGTTATAGCACATACGCTTAACCGGCTTCTTCCTATTTACCTTAATGTTGATCTTAAAGTTGATTGGAAAATGATCAGACTTACAGACGCTATCTCGCTCACCTACCATTAGGTCACTGATATTAGACTCAGAGTTTGTGAGCAAAAGGTCCAGTGTTTTGCCTTTGCAATGTGTGGGTGTAAGTACACATTGCCGAAGGCCAAGGTCTACAAAAGATTCAACAAAAATCTGCTCAATAGGACAGGAGCCGGCCAAGGTAGACCAGGAGACTCCAGTCAGGTTGAAATCTCCCAGGATAAATACTTTGCTTAGCCCTCTTCTCCGAAGAAGAGTTTTCAGAGATCCAAGAATTTTTTCATGATTTGCAAAGCCCAGTGTACCAACACGATAACATGTACAGATAACAAATTTAATGCCCGTTGATGTTGTAAACTCCACAGCAAGAATCTCTGCCCCCTCTTTAAGTCGGATTTCTTTCGAAGATAATTGAAGGTCTGCTCTCACAGCAATCATGACCCCGCCACCATTTCTCCTAAACCTGGTCGGATTAGAGGGATCAGGTGGATGAGTTTTCTTAGATCTGTCAGAGCGAAATATCTTATATTTATCAGGGTGCAGGAATTCGCTATCAGCTATGGAGTTTTTAAACCAAGTTTCGTTAAGTATTGCAATATCTATATTTGCCTCATTAAAATAAGTTGAAAGCTCAAGACATTTGGTGTTATCAAACATTGGGTGGGCATTATTAAGCTCACCGAAGGGAATAAGGCCTTGAAAATTCTGAAAGTAAACAATCAATACCTTACTATTCCCCAACCTAATATCTATAGGAGGGGGACCTGGGTTTACGATTCCAGGGTTTACAAAAACTATCAAAATACCATTCAACAAGAACAACCAAATTATGCATCCAGTTAGTGCAATGCCAGCTCTACCAGTAGATAAAAAGTTTAAATTCCTATAAATTGTAACATGGCAGAAATTGTAAAGGCCATCGAAACTATAATCATTCCGGAAATAATACATATTTGCTAAGTGTAGAAGGAAATATACAGTAAAATATCGGCACAGGTTAGGCACTGGATATGTTGGTACAAAGGCTCGGCAATCATATGTGACTCTAGAAAAAGCCAACCCACTAACCCCCGCACTAGTGATGATGATGAGTGAGAAATTGCATATGAATAAAACATAGAATATATATAAAAAGAAGCTAGGATCAATGCAGCTGTCTAAAATGTCAAAGATACTACCTGTACCACGTCTACGGTTCTGATGTTTAATGGCTCTTGCGAAAGAATTTCCACTAAACACTCCAACTCTAAATCTATATGTTACTAAATCGATCATGGTAATTTACAGGTAAGTATACTTGCCAGACTACATTTGCATATAACTAGCTATACAAGGTCCATAATACAGCTCAGGTTAAACTATTGATATACAAAGGGATTAAAATATCTACTGTGTATGGCACGAATATAAGACCTAGCCAACACCCCCATTCCTTTCTGAGGATTGGGGTGAATACCATTGCTCTCAAATAACGGATCAAATCTCCTAACGGGTTCCTTATAAGTTCTCTTGAATTTAGTGAAGGGATAAAAGACATCAATAAAGAAGAACCTCCTGAATACACATTCATTATATAAAATCCTATTAAAGTCTATTATCCTCTTGTTAGTTAATCTATCATCATCAGACGTTAAGGGTAATGGCAATAAAGATTGAACATAAACCTTGCAATTAGGAAATAATTGGCATATCTTACTAAAGAGTTGCTTCAGAGGCCCTCTAACTATGCCTACATCCTCTACCCGTCTAATATCGTTCGTACCAACACTAATTAAAAGTTTATCAACCTGAACATCAGGATGTGCAGCAGAATAGTCCTCAAGCTGCTTCTGGACCTTGTCCATCTTTGCTCCACCTTGTGCAACATTCTCGACTTTGACTTTCCCTTTTCCCAGCTTGTCCGAGTCCAATCTCTGAGCAAAAGAGTCTCCAGCAACCAACGTGACTTTCTGCACAGGTTCTTTGACTTTAATGCCACAAGCAGGTGTACTAGTCTCACTGGCACTGTTGGTTTCAGAGCTGGCCTGGCTACCAGTTTTCACGATTGCGCGAAAAGACAGGGAGTATCGCACTTGGTCTTGACCATCCCCCTCCGTACCAGTAGCCAGCTCTGCACGCACCTGATGCTTCAGATTCTGCTGTGTCCCAGGCCTCATTACGACAAGGCTGTTGTTCTTCATCCTTATCGCTTTGGCACATTTAGGATTCTTCTTTGTACCCTCGTAAAACTCAAGTGTCCGTTCACACCCCAGGGAGAAAGAGCATATCGATTTCTCCTGATCGATGAGTGTCTCGTCGTCACGGTGTAACGAGGTGCTGGCCTGGTTGTTATTATACTTAATCACCAGACAGGAGTCCAAAGGTCCAGTTATCTCTGTGCTTGAGTTAACGAGACTCAGCAGCCTTTTGATGTTAGGGAAACTACTGATATCCTGTGGTGAGTGTACTGGGTTTGTGTCCGGGTACGTATAGGCCTGATCCTGCGAGCATAACCAAGCGGTTTGAGCCTTGTTTCTCCCCCCAGGGTTCATCTTCAAGGACCCACACTCCACCCATACTGCATCAAGGAGGACATCATCACCACAGAAGTCCTCTAGGTGCAAAACAAAGTTGTCCACCTTTCCCTCACGCTTAGGGAGCTCGTTCTGGACACAGTTGAGGATATTTTGCAGATCCTCAATTGAAGCAGCTTTAACATAGTCGAAAATCTCTTCAAGGTTTATCATTATTATCAGAGATTGTCGAGTCTGGCAGCAAAGTTTGCCGGGGAACCATCCATAACACCCCAGAGTAGGCAACCACACACAACACTGAACACTACCTGAAGGAGAAAGGGCAAGAGAAAATGGGTAATGGTACAAGTGGTTCTAGGTAAATTTTGTCAAGCGTAAGTAAATTTTGCCAGTGAAACTTTAGCTAGAATAATGATAAGAGGGGCAATATCAGAGTTGTAAATGTGTGACTAACATCAAATGTTATCATTGAAAGCAAAATTATGGATAAAATCAAAGTAGAAGATCAACTTACAGCGTGTTTGAGGGTGTTGCTGCCCAGTGCAAGCACTGGGCGAGAGGAGCCTAACTCAAGGGTGAACTTCAGGAACCCCAGCGTACCCGCATACCAGGAGATCGGCTGTACTTCCTAGCCCGTCATGCCATCGTACATGCCTAAAATTATTTGTTATATAGTAGTGTTGAAAGTATAAAAAAAATGTGTTCGACTGTTTTGCTAATTTGAGATAAAGGACAACTGTTTGCTATCGTTATCTTTACAGGATTTAGAGGACATAATGATGTTTGATAATACTGTTGTACTTTCATGGGATCTCAGTATGACATAAGCCGAATAGAGGACAAATATTTGTCGAACTATAGTAGCAGCCTGGATTCTAGTTCGACATGTACTGACGTTCAACAGGGGTGATTTCTGGCGAACTTGAGTTGCCGAACTAGAGTACCTGAATCATAATCAAAAAGTTCTGGCGAATTAAGTTATTTCGATGCATTTTTTCTGGAAATTCGTAACTTATCCTTTCCAGGAAGTTGACTCGTTTGCCGATCGTATCATAGCAAGATTCAAAGAGTTCCTTGACGACGAGGTGCTTCAGAGTGTTGCAGCGGAGGGTATCGCTAAACTCATGTATAACCGGAGACTGGTAGACGCCCAGTTGTTCTCCCGGCTGTTGTTGTTGTGGTATAATCCCACCACAGAGGGGGACCCTCTCAGACATTGTCTGGGGATGTTCTTCAGCACTCTCGGGGCTGGAAATGAGTGAGTTATTGATGTTTGGGTTTTGGTGATTTTGTGATATAACCGATACAATATGATGATTAAAATGCCACAAAATACAAGTATTAAAAATGAGAATCTAAGATGTATTATTTTTTTTCATTTTTCGTGAAAATTTATTTATGGTACTGAAATAGCTCACTATATCTCCCTGTCTCATTCAAATGATGTCTTAATTTCAGCGAACTGCTGGATGTGGTAGAACAAGCCTTCTTCCCAACACTAGAGACGATCTGTGATGCTCCCCACACCTCCCCTCTACTTGAGATAAACCCTGCCAATGTTGCTGAGCTCTTACTTTCTCTTCTCAGGGGTAGGTCGGAGTTAAAAATGTTAACTCTATATATCATTAGCTCCCGTATTCGTATTTATCTCTAGGATTTATTTACACATCTACGTTTCGAGTCTCCAATCACTGCTTGGTAAACAAATTTACATAACTGACAACTGTTCTAACTTCAATTCCATCGGCCTCGGGTTCCTTTTATTCATTGTGGTCGTCTAATCTTTGTAATACTCTGACACAAATATCTAACGATAAATTGTTGTATAAATTGGACTTAATATTTATTTATTTCCGCAGGTCGGCACCACGAGCAGATAGCAATCAAAATGTGTAACGAGATCCTGGTCAGCCCCACCTCACCGTACGGTCGATGTCTGATAAAAGTACTGCCCCACTGTGGAGTAGCTGGGGGTGACCAGACTAACCTCAAACTTATCAACTCTCTTGTCGAGCAGATCATCGATGAGGTGGGTTTCTTTAATCGATAATTTAATACTCGTTTAACTGCATAATCAATAATATTCTTTGTATTGTACGCTTGCATTGAGATTTGATATTAACTTTTGAACTACAGTGACCCAATGTAAGCGCAAACTTTAGTTCTAAATTTAACTCGCAGTTTTCTAGTGTACCCAAGTGTACACACTGCCCAGGTCAACTAAACCAAACATTTACCCAGGTCAATCACGTGAGCACGAAGAGGTCTCTGAGCTCCTTCTCTGTGAGAATCAGTAGTTTTATCACACCACCAGTAGAGGAGGAGCAGGATAAGGAGAACCAGGAGAACGGAGGAAACGGAGGGAGTAAGGAGATCCTAGACAAACTGTCTCAGTCAACTCAGGTAACTTACTTTAGACTCATTTTAGGGCCTACGAAATATTTTCCACCGGTATTTTGTCGAGCTGAACATCCTACACCCTTTGAACATCCTCGATTTACATTAATATCAAAACATTAATATCAAAACTGGCGAGCTGGAGACTTATATAGCCAATTTCGTAGATTCACCTGTATCTAGAGTTTGTAAATTACGGAATTTAACAACGCCACTCTCCAGGGATCTGATAGGAGTAGTACGAGGAGAAAAGCCCTGTTTGCAACACCTTCTCAACCTCTCGACCTACTTGACACTATAACATAGCGGGAGTCTAAACAATCCAGCACACTGCTGATTAAATCTGTTCTTCCTAAGACTCTAGACTTTTCCGATCGGGGCTATTAATTCTGATAGAAATCGCATGGTTCTGAAAAAAAGGAAAATTTTACTCAAGATAAAACATTTCTATGTAATAACCACGAATAACACATTAAAATTGCATCCTAATTTGTATAAAAAACAACCTAGATTAGAGAATTTGTATTCATCTTGATCAAATAGTGAAATTTCACAAATGCTAACTAGTATAGTAGTATCCAAAATACACCTGACTTGATTTCCCTGTTGTGATGTTGTTAGAAATTTTTCTTGAAGGTACCGCTCCCAACGGTCAAAGTGTAAAATTATTATATACAATACAATTTGAAAATATAAACATAATATCAACACATATTACTAGTCCATCCTGGTATGAGGTTGATGTCGCTGTTCGTGTCGTCGCACCATTGGACTGCTCTTCCTCTGTGTCCTCGGATGGCGGCGAGGGTTGTGCGGAGGATTGAGAAGCGGAGTTTTCGCGTATGTGAGAAATCGTATCACTATAGGGTGTTCCCCTTTTCTTTGAAAGCTGCATTATTTCAACCCTCTTCACTGCAAATTTAATTTCTATACTGAAGTCTGTTTGATTGATTTGATATTAGTGGATATCAGTTTCTGTACTGGTACCAGTTACTGTCAGGTTAGATAGGATCAAAGTGTGCTGAGCGGTCACACCTACTATTATTATATTCTAGAGGGGGTGAATTGACCCGTGATTTGCTTACCTGGACTGTTTTAATTTCATTTTGTGGTACCTTATGTCTTTTTGTAGATATAACTTCATTAAGGTTTATGTAGCAATTTATTAAGTAAAGGAATTCCCCAATTCCAGTGGTATTTTGTGTAATTGGGTGGCACTGTCGCTAATTTGAGATGAATCCTCTGATTTGATGGACAACCTCTAACTTTCCATTACACTATAGTACATTTTATTACAATGCTCGGCACGTACGTGCGTGTTTTGAGATAATTAAAATAACGTTTTAAAAACTTAAACTTGTGAATTTATTTGATATATTCTAACTGTCAAGTATGTGGACGTTGCGAAATACTGTATTTCATTTTCATTTCTAATAAGATTCTTATTCCCGAAGATTATGTGTCCTAATTTGTTGAGATTATAACTTTAATGATGTGGTCAGTGGTGAATTTTGGGATATACGTGGGTTTCTCATCTTCCTGCCAATTGAATTTTGAATTTTGAATTTTGACCCGCCCATTCTGTGATCCTATAGCATAGGGGGGGGGGGTACCAATGGCATAAATGGCATAATGGAGAATTGGCCAATAAAAATTTCCATTTATGCCATAAAACGTATGCCATTTATGCCATTTTTGATATAATACATTTCTAGTTTATTTATTTGTCATATGAATCTTTAACGATCATTCCAAGCGTTATAAAGCATGAAACATGTCTCTTATTCAAGTACTAATAATAATTTGCGAATTTAAAGTCAAATATGAAGACCTAAATTCATGGCATAAATGGAGAATTGGCCAATAAAAATTTCCATTTATGCCATAAAACGTATGCCATTTATGCCATTTTATGCCATTGGTACCCCCCCAGCATAGGAGTATAGGTAGGAGTATAGGTCGATACTATCAGTTATCCATATCAAGTTTCATGCAGTCCACTTTCACACAGTCAGATTCATGACTGGGCAGTGGGCTCTTAATACTAATTCGCTCACTCAAAAATTATCACGTGACATTAGTTTTTATGGTTTTGCAACCGAACACAACGGTTTTACATAAACCCTAATCCCAACCACAACCCCAAAGCTATCCATAACCCTAACCCGAACCCTAACCCTAACCCGAGCCCTAAACAATAAAATTCATGTATATACTAGCCTTTCATAATTCTCCAGGGAAGAATTTTTACCCTATACGTCATAGGGCCGGGGTGATTCGGAATCAGCGTCCACAATTACTGGGCGGCGCTCAGCCTGTCATTCCGCCTAATCTCTATTCGCCTAATCTCTATTCACCTAATCTCTATTATGAATATGAACATAAATATAATAGCCTGGGATCCCCCGGTAACGTCCAAAAATACACCAATTATGTTTACTTTCATATCCTCAGGGCCTTTTCACAAGAATTTTTTTTAAATTTGGGCAAGCGATATATAGTGGGAGCGGATTGACTGAGTCAATTTGATATAATTATAGGGCAATTAAAACTAAATCGGTATCTTGACAACTCGGTTTCCCGAATCACCCCATCTTCAGATAAATTTATTGATTAGATCTGAAACATACCCCAAAATCTTAATTTCTACGTTTTACAAGACTGTTTTGGTGTGGATTTGTCGGTAAATTTTGTTTGGATTACTGGTTTTGTCGGATACACCAATTGCTCCTTTATTATTAGCTGGATTTAATTTGCAACAATAGTTCATTTTGATTGAGCTGGTCTGCAGTTGTGCAACATGAATAGTAAATATCACAGTGCTGGCAAGCACGAGCGGTGTCTTTATTGGGGGTATACTATGTACCCCCTTTACTATTCTATCCCCTTTACTATTATACCCCCTTTACACCCCCTTTGGTACACGTCGGAAGCCTCTTTCGTGCACGCGAAGCGTGCACTCCGGCCGGAGGCGGCGGCCGAAGGCCGACGCCTCCGGCAGGAGTTTTTCAGGCATTAAGACTCATCGGAAGTCGTTCAGCAGATTTATTTTTAGTTCAAAATATTCTAATTTGATGTCAAAGATGTCAGAAATAAGAAATAGTTATGTTGAGATTTTTAAAAAATTTGCATAAAATACTCGCCAGCACTGTTATACGAAATTCGGTAAAAAACCCGAAATCGCCATATTCAGGTGCCTTAAAAACCATGTTAAAATTGAGTTAGAGATCTGAAACTTTGCAGGGCGTCTAGACGTTGACCTAATCGACTGTAAAAAAAGTTTCAAGTTTCAGGAGCATCGGGAAATTGGTTTTCTAGAACCCCTGTTTTACGACAGATTGTCGTGATATATACATACATATATATATCACAGTGCTGGCAAGCACGACCGGTGCATTTATTGTGGGTATACTATGTACCCCCTTTACTATTATACCCCCTTTACTATTATACCCCCTTTGGTACACGTTACAAGCCTCTTTCGTGCACGCGAAGCGTGCACTCCGGCCGGAGGCGTTTTTCAGGCATTAAGACTCATCGGAAGTCGTTCAGCAGATTTATTTTTAGTTCAAAACATTCTAATTTGATGTCAAAGATGACAGGAATAAAAAATAGTTATGTTGAGATTTTTAAGAAATTTGCATAAAATACTCGCCAGCACTGTTATACGAAATTCGGTAAAAAACCCAAAATCGCCATATTCAGGTGCCTTAAAAACCATGTTAAAATTGAGTTAGAGATCTGAAATTTTTCAGGGCGTCTAGACGTTGACCAAATCGACTGCAAAAAAAGTTTCAGGTTTCAGGAGCATCGGGAAGTGGGTTTTCTAGAACCCCTGTTTTACGATAGATTGTCGTGATACATATATACATATATATATATATTCAGGGATAGACGCTTTGCCAGTCAATTGTAGCCTGTATTTAATTGTCCATAGATTTAAAAGTCTAAAAGATACAGCCATTTCCGACCACAGGTCTTGCAAATAATTGTTTATACTTTAGTTTACATTGTATACAAAAATTATATGACGTCATAAACACCCCTTGATGACGTCATCAAGTTAACCGTTTTTAAAACTTGATTTTTGACAAAGTAATAACTTTTAAAATTAATTTTAAACCATTAAGGAGTAATTTTATTCAAAATCTGAGGAAATTTTCACCTTAGATATTTGTTCAAGCATTCTGAAAATCTACCGGAAAGTTTTTCTAGCTTGCTCCTTCATAAAGATATTCGTCATTGAAGTTTGTGCTTTTTTGAAGAATTATTTTATAAAAACGTCAATTTTGCGATTTAGTATTCTCTGGTGTTGGGCCATGCCTTGGGTTGTGGAGCTCAGTTCTGCTTCCTATAGGTATAAATTGTGTCATAGGCTAGTTTTAAAGTTGAAAATCGAAAAGTTGCACACGTTGGGACACGCCCAAATTGATAGAAAATCGCTAAAATCACTGAAAATTGCTGTTTTCGTCATTTTCTGTCAACTTTAGAGTGCCGTTGTGATTACAGTTCTTCTTAAAATACTTTGAAACTTTGCATGCTTATCAAGCTATATATAAAACAATTACATGCAAAAATTTACGGCGATTCAATATTGGATGCGCACGCAACGTCTGCTCAAAGTTTGCACGTGCGAAAGGTGAGAATTTTGCTCATTCGTGATTTCCAACAAATTCTGCTTTGCCACGACAGTTTAGTGTCATTATATATGAATTTAATGCCAACTTGAATGAGTATTAAGTGGCATATTCAGTCAGTGATCGACCGATATGCTTCCCTAAACACAAGGAAATGTTTTTAAAGGATAGATTTCGAAATCGTTGAAACTTCCTCCTTATTAATGAAGATATCAGTTTATATTTCGACTTTATAAAGTACCCTGACATTATAATCAAAAAGAGATGATATTTTACCAAAACCCATAATCATGGGTAGAGTGGACCGCTGTCAGTGTCTCTCTTTCCCAAACAAAAGGAAATGATATTACTTTGATTGACCGTTCTCAAATGCAAAATGATACCGAGAATGAAATCGGTCGCTCGCTTTTCCCATTCATTTACAATTGTAATAGATTAAGAAAAACTACCCAAATGCAGCTGCACTCGGCAATGAAGATTCAATAAACTTCAGCTAATTCAATAAGTAATACTAATAACTACCACCCTTACCCCGAAATACTAGGTATCGACCCGAACGCAACCCAAAGAGATTTTTACAGCATCTGATTGATGTAATCAATCGAAACTTATTACAATTCGTAAGCCGTGAATGAATGGGAAAAGCGAGCGACCGATTTCATTCTCGGTATCATTTTGCATTTGAGAACGGTCAATCAAAGTAATATCATTTCCTTTTGTTTGGGAAAGAGAGACACTGACAG